GCATGGTCCCCAAGTTTCTTCACACCAATACTCTCTCTCCCTCTCTCTCTCTCTCTCTCCGTGCATTAATAGCCAAATTAGATTACCCATGTCGAATTCAAGATAAACTAATCTCGTTTCATATAATGAAATTTTCTCGCCAGTGCAATAGGGAATGCCATAGAGCAAACATTAGAACTATTCCTGAGAAAAGGCAACTTGCTGTAATATTTTAATTACGTTATCACTATGGTTACAGATCAAATATTAAAGTCGCGGTGGTCCCAGTTCATGCTTGCTTATATCTTGTTTACATCAAACAGGCTTAAATTTTACTTCCATGCTTGCACAGGGACGTAACTAGCTCAGCGCAAAGAGGGGGGCGGGAGGTGTTCTCAGGGGGTGCTGCACAATTGCCGGACAATGTATATATATTGTTTTTATGTTTTTACACGGGTGGGGGGGGGCGAAACTTTTTGCGGGGGGGGGGGGCTTTGCTAATATTTTGTTAACAGCATTCGAAGCTTAAAGTAGCTAAATCTCTATTCTTTGGCACCTAGAAATGGATAAAAATGGGTAGCAACGCATATAATAATATAATATGCATGCATATGAACTGATTTACATTTAATCGTTTCTGTTTTTACTATAACTTCTATTCAGTTATGTTCGACGAAATACGCGAAGAGTCCAAAGTGAATGGCAGTTGGGGGGTTGGATGGCCAAATGGTTTACACGCGCGCTGTATCATACAGTCTGTCATTGAGTCAACTGGCGTGGCTTCGAATCACCGGTTGTACGTGACAAGGAGTAGGGTCGCCTGTCCAAGCTCGTGGGTTTTCTCCGGGTCCTCCGGTTTCCTCCCACTGCTAAAGACCCCTACGCACAAGCGAATTATTGAAATAAAATTAAACCATATGTTAGTCCCGAAATGACCTAGTTCGTGTCGAGTGGACGTTAAACCCCATTTCTCTCTCTCGCTCTCTCTCTCTGAATGGCAGTTGATGGCGCGTCTGGTTATTCCAGTCTAAAAGGGTAGTATTCTCCTGTAGGATATGTTAAGCCACGTTTATCGAGTCGCTTCATTTCAATATACATGCATATAAACTAATTAAACCTTACAATCGTTTGTTTTTACTCTAATTTCTAATCAGTTATGAGTGACAGTCTTTGGTGTGTCTGATTATTCCAGTCTACACAAGTAGTATTCTCTTGTAGGATATGTTTAGCCTCGTTCACCGAGTCGCATTATGATCTACTCTTATATCGAATTCCAACTGCCAAGGGATCTTTTACGTGCACGCCAATGTTACACGGGATCTCGGATTTTCGTACCATCCGAGACAGGCCCTCCGTCCAACACCAGTGACAATAGGAAACCATGTTACACGGGGCCTCGGATTTTCGTACCATCCGAGACAGACCCTCCGTCCAACACCAGTGACAATAGAAAACCACGCCGGTAAACCCCGATGAACTTTCTCGACCAACGCAGGGATCGAACACGCCACGTCCAGGCTAGCGGGCCAAATTCTTACCAACTTAGCAACACACGCGTTAGACCATTCGGGCATCCAACCTCCCACGGCGAATGAAGCGATTTGGGCTGAAACAGAGAAATTGAAACAAAACCGGAACATGTAACCGTCAATCAGCAAGGTGTCAAATGCAATGTAAAACTATTAACATGTTTTTTTTGTATTTAATTCCCAGGGCCTCCTCAAAATTACATTAAAGGTAACCAATTTTTATTTTTTAAATGACAATCATCAATGTAAGAGGTAATCAAGAATACGTTGGGTATTTTTTGATAATCGAGTAGAATTCCCTATAGACAACATTATTACATTTCACGATACTCAATCATTCTTGATGCTCGAGAACTTTTTGGCACAAGGAAATGGAATAAAATTAAATTAAATCAAATAGGGTTTTACGTCCTACTGTTCTGCTCTAACTGGGCTAATGAAGACGGGCATACGCCATACAGTGTGCTATGAGGGAAATTTTGCCCACGCAGCGGCACTATCGTCTACTCTTATATCGAATTCCAACTGCCAGGGGATCTTTTACGTGCATTTCAATATATACACGGGACCTCGGTTTTTCGTCTCATCCGAAGGACTAGAAAGATGTACTTGCCAGGCCCTCCGTTCTGCACCACTGACAAGGGGAAACCACGTCGGAAAATCCCAATGAACTTTCTCGGCTAATGCAGGGATCGAACACCTGACCTCCAGGCTAGCGAGCCAGCGTCTTAACCAACTAGCCACCGTGACTCCCTCGACAACTTTCTGGCACTAGGAAATGAAATGAAAGGAAATTAAATCAAATAGGGTTTTACGTCCTACTGTTCTGCTCTGCCAGACTGTGCACTATGAGGGAAATTATGCCCGGAAAGCGGCACTAGGGCCCACTCTTATATTGAATTCTAACTGTCAAGGGTTCTTTTACGTGTACGCTAATGTGTGCAAGGGACCTCGGTTTTCGTCCCATCCGAACTACTAGACATTATGATGATCGAGGCTAGGTCGAAAATCCAATCGCTAAATTCTCGGTTCAGATTTGACCAATTTGACTGAAATTTTCAGAAAATTCCCTTTATATTATCTAGTTCTTAACTATCATGGTGAGAACTGCTAGCTTTTTATCTAATCTCCCCTAATATATCTTTAACTATAGTCATTGGACTGGACTATTTTAATAAAGGAATATTTATTAATCTCTATATTGGCCTTCCAAATGGAGAACTGTTGACCTAATTTGGCTGCCAAAATTCGTAGGTATACCATATTGACACAATGTTATTTTAATAATATACTAGAATTAACATACACTATAAAAATAAGTACCAAACAAATCATTAATACTTAGAATAAACTATATATAATAACAAGTTATTACTACTTAGAATAAACAAAGTATTAATAACACATTATTTTAGAATAAAGAGAGAGAGAAGAAACCAAGAATCAAACGCAAGATGAAACAAAACTACAATAAGATTAGTTCGTATACCACCACTGACCACAAAAAATTAACCAAAATACTACTCTATGCCATACTTATGCTTTAAAAGTCAAATTGTAAACAGTTAATAACACAGTGATTTGTGCACCGAAATACACGACTTTTGATGGGGTTCTTATTTTCCATTTCCCAATGAATAAATCCTTACAAATTACTCTGAAATTAACGCAAGAAAACATATGAAGAGTCCAGGGGAAGAATGATCTAAGTCACATTTTTGTCTTTTCGCACAAACTACAAAACAGACTTTTGGAAGAGAATTCTTGAACAGAACAATGAGTGGGTTTAATTACGACTTCAAAATGATGTTTAATCCAAATCATAATTACCAGTACAACAACTGACTTCCACTTTTCAGCCGAATTAAGGTTAAATAAAGGGTACGATGGACGTATTTGTCCGGGAGGCCATTTAAGAAGGGCCTTGGTTCGATGTGACTCCGATTGTTTTTACCCGAAATAGATTGTTCCACAGAAAGCTTATACAATTTGCTACCAGATGGCGCCATTAACTGGGGTTCATTGAAAAAGTGACCTAGATCGTTCTTCCCCGGGACTCGATCTTCATATGGTTCTATGTACGATAAATTCAATACAAGTCGTATAAATGACTTTTAATTAAATAATATTCTATTAACTTACAGATTTGATAATCTAGAGCAGGGGTGGTCAACCTTTGGCACATTGGATGATTAGAAGTGGTACCTTACATCTCTGTGACAATGATAAAATGAAATGGGGCTTAATGTCCTATGGTTCTGTTCCGAATTCGGCTAATGAAGACGGGCATACGCCATACGGTGTGCTATGAGGGACATTTTGCCCGAACAGCGACACTGTGGCCTACTCTTATATCGAATTCCAACTGTCAAGGGATCGTTAACTTGCATGCCAATGTGTACACGGGACCTCGGTTTTTCGTCTCATCCGAACGACTAGACAGCTGTCCTTGTCAGGCCCTCCGTCCTGCCTCACTGACAAGTAAGGCAGTAAGCCGACTCATTATGTTTCGCGCTTATCTTTTATAGTGAATATCTTATTTGGTATTAACCTGGCTATCTGTTTTAACAGATGTTTTTTTTTTAATATTTAATAATTTTATCATGTAAAATGCTAATTATGTCTAAAAACATATTTTTTACAAAAAGTAGACGGCTGTACAGTTGATGTGTGTCGCATCCAGGGGCGTTCTGGCCCCGAAGGGGCCCGGGAGGACGGCGCGGAGCTGGTAGGGGGGTCCAGAAAATTTTTGAAATTTGACAACGGGAAACGCGTTTTGCAAGCACTTCTGGGAGAAATCTAGGTATCATATTTTCCAAATTTATGCTGCTATTTTGACAATAAGACATACTACTGTACTACACAAGACACTCATGACAGGTCTGCTTAATATAATGCTAATACAATGTATTTCTATCCAAATAATAAATTGCATCTTATACCGCTTATACCGGTGGACTTATTGTTTAATGGGGGCCTGGGAGGACACCGTCCTCCTAAACTCCCTGCCAGCACGCCCCTGGTCGCATCTGAATTTGTGTTGTGAACAAACGGTTGCATGGAATGTAAAATGTTGGCCACGCCTCTTCTAAAGTATTTAAATAACATTGTGATTACAATTTGATTAAAATACAGATCTATATTTTGTTTCGTTTTTTTTATACTTTGGATGGCCTACACTACATGGAGATCTAACCAGATGTACTGGAAGGTCGCGTCAGGGGTCGTACGAGCGACTTTTGTCCCTATGATGTCAGACACTGATAAATTAATCAGCGCTAACGTTTCTAGTGGTTTACCCACAGTTCCGTACAGACCGATTTATTGGCTAATCCCTCACTTCAAGGAAAATGCCGGTAATACAACAACTCTTCCAGATCCTAGTGAAGACAAGTAAAACGAAATTTTGAACTATAAAAAACGAAACGAAATAGGATCTGTGTTTTAATCATATTGATCGGTGTTTTAACTGCTTTCTCTTTACATCGATTTTCATCCATCTGTCAAAAAAAAAGGAAACATTATTAAAAAAATTTACGTTTGACACTTTACAGTATTTGAACAAGAATATAACATTATCATGATAATTGAAGATTAAACCCTCCCATTGCCTTTCGTGCGGATATTTATACGGATAGTGATTCGGAGAGAGAGTGTGTGAGAGAGAGAGAGAGATAGAGAGAGAGAGAGAGAGAGAGTAACGTCCACTCAAACTAGGTTCAATTTTTTTTCAATAATTCGCTTTCGCGTAGGGGTCTTTAGCAGTGGGGTGAAACCGAAGAACTAGGAGAAAATTCACGAGGATGGACAGGCGACTCTACTCCTTGTCACATACAACCAGGGTATCGAAACCAGGCCAGTTGACTCAAGGACAGACCTTATGATACAGCGAGCACGTGCTAACCATTCGTGCAAATAATTTAAACGGTCTAAAGAAAATTGGGAGTCACGGTGGCTGAGTGGGTAAGACGCTGGCTCGGAAGCCTGGAGGTCGGATGTCCGATCCTTTCATTGACCGAAAAAGTTCATCCAGATTTTCCCGCGTGGTTCCCTCTTGTCAGTGATGCAGAACGGAGGGCCTGGCAAGTACAGCTGTCGTGCTTTGCGTGCTTTTTACCTGTCGAATGCACGTTGCTGTAAAACCTTTCATATGAACGATTGTGTTGTGATCTTCTTGTACCATCTGTTTCATCATCAGGAACGGATTCTTCATCTAAACTAAGGCCTCTATTCAATCTGTCCACATAGTTCAATATGTGTTGCATGATTTCGGTTGACTGCTGAACATTATGTGGGTTTTTATCTGGGTGCCATCTTAACAAAAGTCGTTTAACAACTCTTCTTCTTTCAACCTCATCTGAACATTTCCATGCTCGCGTCAAGTTCTGTCGTATATCCCGCAATACAGTTTGAATGTCGAAATTGTCGTTAATACTTTCCATTTGTGGTTCTGCTTCTCCCCTTTCGCTTAGGACTAATTCCCGAGAGGTACTTGTATTATTTCGGTGGAATTTATATAATTTGGTAACTGTAACTTGGATGGGTTTCTCCCCTCCTACATTAATACTATATATAGCAAACTCAGTATCAGTTTCTGCCTGTATTTTCTCCACAATTTTTGCGTATATATAATATGGGGCATCCACGGTGATTCCATCGTCACTTGTGTCCTCAATATCGGGATCATAAATTTCATATCCAACATATTCTCTTTTATCAAAATCACAGAAACTGTTATCCAACTGCCAGTGAAATTTTTCGGGAATGTTTGTACCGACTGATGGAAATAACTTATATCTCAAATTAAATCCTGGATTAGAACAATTTATCTTCTGTTCATCCAAATACGACTCGATTTCAGAAGATTTTCCGCGTACCGCCCTATCCCAAATATCACGAAAGTGCCAACCGATATCTATATTAAATATCCGTCGAAATAGTTCAGATAATGTGCGATCAAATTCGTTCAATCTATCTTTTGACCTAGCTTGATCAACATACAAAGAATATGACCATTGCTCTGATCTATGCTGCTTTACAAAGAATATTGTGTGTGGCTCTTCACTGCCAGGCACTGCTTGGTCTTGATGTACTAGTTGAGTCATAAGGTTGACCACTTCAAATATTTCAATATTGACCACAGTTTGGATCCCTTCATCCAGAAGACTGTTTGATTTATCGTAAATAGTTTGTCTGTGTCGCACCAATCGCTCTATCCCTTTCAATACATGCTCGTCTTTTAACATGTCAGAAACTTTTTTCGTTAATATTGTGTTTTGAACAGCATTTTCGAGGCTTTCTGGTGTAATTTTTTCTTTAACGACCTCATGTAATGGCTTCATCTGGTACTTTTTAGGAAAATTATTATGAATCCTCCATTGATCTGCCCATACTATATCCATCTCTTCAAATCCTATGAAATATGGAAGAGTTAGATTTTCGACTCTCTGGTAAAGGCTATTATTATCAACCAGAATCATTTCAATAGACTTTGACAAAATTCCACTTATGTTCGGCAGAAATAAGTACTCTTCAGTCATAGAACTTTCGCTTTCTGTTTTGTTCTCCCATAAGCGTATGAGTTGTTCCATACATAGTTTGACAACAACAGATTCATTTGGATTGAGTACTTTACCTTGACACTCTGTCCAAATATCCCGCAGAACTCCAAGATACAAATCTGTTACTGCCGACATCCATGCGCCGAGTTCTTGAAATAGTGCACAAAATTCACTAAACTGAGAAGGGACCTTGTAAATACGACCTTTAATGGTTTCGCCTCTATACGACTCAATTAATAGAGAAGCTGCTTTAACCATTATTGTTTCATCTGGTAGAAATATTAAATTAAGAGTTCTAAGCTCTGGCATTCTCTTCACGTCACCATTGTTATTAATGTACTGATACAGGTTTTTGAATAGGTCTATACTTGAGTCCCTGTCAATATTTTTCCAACGATTTCCATTTGACAGAGACCCACAAATTTTCGTCAAATGGTTTATAAAATTATTTCTATTGATCTTTGTTTTAATCCCCAGAGAGGTGCTTGAGGGGATGATATCTGGTGGCAGAATATCTGCTTCAGTCCAAACTAAATTAGTGTTTACCCATTTGAAAGAACCATTGAAACATATGAAGTTCTCTCTGCAGCCATACTGGTGATGAATCTGACTTCTGAAGTCCGTGCTGGGTAAACGATAGCCCTCAATAAATTTTATATTCTTAATTCGTTTACAAAATTCTTCATCAGACGCAACTCCTCTGGCAATTAAATGACGAAAAAGTGTGCGTGATTGTTCGGTAGTAGTATCATTAACACCAGCGTGTTCGATGATTTCGGCAAAAGTTACAAACATTTCTGAAGATACTTCATTTTTCAAACCTGCTTCGATCATGAAATTCTTCCACTCTTCTTGATCGAATGGGGAAGATGGGAAATCGACATGGTTCCTCATCACCTTGAACACTTCGTTTTCTTTATCATAAAATTTTGAAGCGGTCCACATATTTCCCTTATAAAGTACAAACTGAACATTCTTCAGCTCTGAAATCAAGGCAAGTTTATCTGTAGCCGACAGATTTGTGAAAAGATGATCACGAATATACTTTAAATGAATATATTGGTCTTCAAGTCTGAAACAATGGAAATTCCTTAAAATATATTTGGTATACAGAGGACCTAATTCTATAATTTCCACGTTAATATCTTCATACAGTTTGTGGAGATCATGGTTATATCGTAGTAACTCTATATTTGACATACCTGACCAATGATGTAGGCCTTCTGTAGGAACAGTTCGGCATGAATCGCTAAGGCATATGTATGTTTTATTTCTGTGGAGTGATATCATACGGTCATCATATGACTGGAAAATCGGCAATATTTTAATGTTTTGGATGTTGTTAATATCTTTCATATTGGTACTGAAGTATTTCCATAGACATTCAGCTTGTTTAGCGTTTATGATGGAAGGCATGTAGTCCATGTTCTTTATCATTAATTCCAGAATACCCGACGGATTGTCTATCTGTACTGCAAGTTCACACTTTATAAATCTTGAAGTAATTTTAAGGGTTGCTATTCCGAGTTTAGTCAATACTTCAATTGTCTTCTTATTTGAAGAAATGATCCGGCCATAAACTATAGGATCTAAGATATGGTCAGCAAGGGATAATGGATATAACAATGTTTTTTGACCTCTTTTAACCGGTAATAAAGAAAACTTAACGATGGGATTCAAATTTAAGATTAACTCTTCCCTGGTCAAATCCTCAGCTAATTGATCACTTATAAATTTCCAAGCTTCGTCAAGCCATTCCTCGCTGACAGGTGTATTACCATTCCATTTCACCTTTTTATCAAGACAAATTCTTTCCTTTGAAGACTTTTTCGCTAACTTTGAAAAGCCTGGCAAGTTCCACTTTACTAACGGGTAAAACGAATCTGTAAATTTGTCCATTAAACGTATTATTTCAGACGACAAAAATGTAGATGAATGTTCGGGAAACAGGTTACAGAATTTAGAGACAATAACTGCACTGTTGACACTGAAAACGTCAACCGTATTGTCCTGTTTAAGCAATAAGGGAGCTCCGTACAAACTATTAACATTGTCCTTGTTTATACCTTTCATCACAAATTCTAATACCAATCTCAAGGCTCCAATTTTCCTAAAAGCTGTATTTGATATGTCGCACGGTAACTTACCAACTACGCACTTGTTACGGAGTCCATTTCCTGAAAATGATTTCAAAAACCGCAACACATTTTCTGGTGTCGAAGACTGAACATTAACACCCGACTTTATAAATTGTTCTAGTATGATTTCAGAGGAGATCAATATCTTCATACCCATTTCCACCAAAATTTCTCTTAGTTCATCATTTCTTGCCGGCTTATCTTCTAAACTACCGATACTAAGCTGATGGCCGATTCCAGATGATCTATAATATGGTGGCTGAGATTGTGTTCCAACTTCTTTCAAATAATATTTAAGCCTGTTAAAACATCCAGCAAAGTCGCCATCATCTCCAATCTGTATATTAACCCATATTATCCGCCACAAGTTTTTGGAAGTGTTTGTAACTACTGGAAACAGCTGACATTCTTTTACTGCCATCCACAGATAACTTTCTTCGCTTAAAGTTTTCCAAAATACGTCTGTGGCCCTTTCAATGAGTGGGAAAAGCGCTTCAAATTTACGGATTAGCTTGTTTAATTTCCACGATTTTCGATAATTCACGATATACTCTTTAATATAAGTTAGAGCTGAAATGTAAGCTGGAACGATGACATATTTCGCTAGATGTTCATTCCACTGTCCTTCAACTGAATCTTTTTCGCACCTTAAATTCCGCCTTGATTCATGATCTAAAGTAAATTGTCCATTTATATGTACTGGTAGACCTGTTTGAATGGGAAGTGGTAACGTACAATATGCATTTCCATTTACCTCACCTGAAAGACTGATAGCCACTCCACCCCGTGGCAATTTTTGAACAATGCCTTTATTATATGCCCTGCTCAGTTTTTCGGGAAATTGAGGTTCGGGTAAAAATCCTACTCTTTTTACAATGGCAAACTCTTCAATCTTATTAGATTTAGTTTCTTCCAAGTTTCTTCCAAACTGTTCAAGTTTATCAGATTTAGTTTCTTCCAATTTTAAGGTTATTTGTATTTCAAATGGTGCTTTTAAGGTGTTCGGCTGTAAATCACCCATCTTATTTGATAGTTCACGCAGATAGTTGTTGTATTCTTCCTGTTTCTCTGTATCTTCCTTAGTCATTCCTGAACTTACTTCATGTTCAATAATTAGATCTCCGTTTTGATCAACTGAAGCTATCTTAATTTTTGTGATGTTCTCTAGAAAGATCATACAAGGACTTATCTGCCCTTTAAGCAGTGTGATGATATCTTCTATATCTTGTGTTGTTGTTTGTTCACTTCTTATCTCTGAATTTGCTGCCATGTCTTCCGTTCGTAGTGGTAGACGAAATAATGTTCCTTTATCCAATTTATTCGTAAATTTGGGTAGATAACCTTCCATAAAGTCTGTGTACCTTCCTCTCAGCCCAGAAACTTTAATTTTGCTTCCAGGTGTTCGTCCAGTTGCACTCTGTAGATATTTACAATGGGGGTCGCAGATACAAACTAATTCTCCAATTTCACTACCTTTTGACCAGAATGATGGGACGTCTGTAACGTGGTAAACCACATTAAAGCCCACTCCGTACTGACCAGTTTTAAGCATTTCGTCACGTTTACTTCCTGAACCCAGAGCTTGTATACCGTTCAGATCTCTTTCAGAAAAGCAGGTGTTATTGTATATACAGAGTGCAGGTCCTTGTATCTGACTTAATTTATCATCTGGTAGACTGTTTGTTTCAAGCTGTCTGAAGTCTTTTATGAAAATCACCTCTGTAGCCCCTGCATCATCAGCATTCTGTAACAACTCTTTAAGTATAGATTCGTCACATGGATATCCCTGTAGTATACCTTTGATGCGGTTTGTAAGATCTTCGTGTTGACCAAATTCAGAAAATAGAGGGGATGATACGTTTTCAATGTCATGTGATCGTTTTGATTTGACACCCATGAGCTCTGCTACACTTCGAGAAATTTTTTTATGAAGATGTGTTTGTTTCAGGTTATTTGATAACCATGGACTGTCATCAAAATAAAGGTCTTTTGTAAATGTTAGCTCGCTGTGTTCATCAGGCAGTTTGATGGACTCAAACACACCCTTATCGACTGTCTGTTGATCACATAATCCTTCACATTCGTTACACAGTCTATTTACACAGTCAATTTCATCTGATGAAAGTTTATTACTGCCCTTTTCTGCCGAAAAAAGCATCAAGGCCCCAATAAGCATAGACAACGTTAATTCTACTCGAACACCCAAAATCACAAACAAATCTTTATACCGTTTATATCTTAGATCTACCGCGAACAAATAGGGTGATAGATTATTTCTCAATTCCATCACCATTTTATCAGCGGTTTTTAATGTCCTTTCATGCAAAATAACTGCCTTATTTTCTAAGGACTGTTTAACATAATGGATATCTTCTTCATTGTTATCCTCCACCACTTTACGGAAATAGTCGTAGATATCTCGGAAGGCAGCATCTATCATAATAATATACACATCATTCTTCAGCCCAGATTCCATGATATGGTTTGAAATTATTAACAAGTTTTCTATCACTAGCCTCAGATCAATTTCAGATCCTAAATGCTGGACTCCTAACCATTTCAGTACATCGGTAATTTTACTGTTATATTTATATTTATTTACATCAACTATTGGTTTTATGCATCCTATCAGATATCGACATTCCGGTAAATATCCGTGTATAGGTGATGTGAATGGCCATTCTGTATTATCACCACCGTACCACGGAAGTGTCCAATTGTATGATGGTCTTTGTAATGCCAGAAATTCTAAATTAGAAAGTTCTTTGCGAATATCATCTGGGCATTTTTGATATCTCTGTTCTGCATCACGAGTAGAAAGTTCTTTGCGAATGTCATCTGGGCATTTTTGATATCTCTGTTCTGCGTCACGAGTAGACGTCATATATCTTAAAAACTCTTCAGTGCGATTGATTAGCAATTCCGAACGTCCGGAGTGTAAAACGGATCGTATCCTTCTTGGCAAATGTTCCCATTCCAGTTCATCTGGGTTTAACGTCCACTTGACACAAACTAAATCATTTCAGCACTAACATATGGTTTAATTTTATTTCAGTAAATTCGCTTGCGCGTAGGGGTCTTTAGCAGGGGAAGGAAACCGGAGGACCTGGAGAAAACCCACGAGGCTGGACAGGCGACCCTACTCCTTGTTACGTACACACGGGGATTCGAAACCACACCAGTTGACAAAATTACAGGCCTTGCAAACAAGACAAATTAGTCAATTTAAAACAACATTGATGTTGCTACCTTACCATGAAAAATGGGATTCTGATATGCAATATTTAAGAAACAGTAAACATTTTAAAATGTTCCAGAATCGCGTATCAGAATGCTTTTGGGCGCCATTTGTAATGACGCGACTCGATGAACGAGGCTAAACATATCAAAGCGGAGAATATTACCGATGTAGACTGGAATAACCAGACGTCAAAGAACGCTACTCAATTGGGACTCTCCGTGTATTTCACCGAATGTAACTGATTAGAACTTACAGTAAAAACAGAAACGATTGAATGATATACATTACATTATGTGCGTTGCAACCCATCTGTGTCCATCCCTAGATCAGATAATTCTCAACGCAAGCTGATTATTTCCGGTCACAACCTTTGTTGCACCGATCATCTTAGACCGTTTAGGAATCAGCAGTTATTTATCTCCTTGATAAAGATTGGCCTTACAGGATACACAATATGCTTGGTCATTTTTTTGATTCAGTGGCCACATGAACTAAAGTTTTACATCAAGTGGGGCGGAGATATACAAAAATATCAAGATAAAGAAAATTTTATTGATTTATTTTACTAAAATATATATTGTATTACATACAACTTAGATATCTATGACATACAGTACAGAAGTCAGAAAACAACAATAAATGATTTCCACTGCTAGTTTCTAAGAATTATCGCCATGTCAGTTTGTTCAAATTTGTTCCACGGGCCACATTTAAACCACCCTTGACACCCCTGACTTACTCGAATAAAAGAAAAACAGTTAGATAGTTGACTTGACGTCGAAGTTATTTATAGAAGAACTGTGATTTCCACGGGTTGTTAAAGATTGAAATTCTTGGTGGTGTGGCCTAAATAGAAAATGAAATTTATCAATAATAAGGTGGCTCGTTTACCAGGAGGACCAGAGTTCGATCCCGGTTTTGATCAAGAAGGTACGTCGGGATTTGTCAAGTGTAGTAAACCCCGTGAGGGAGGGGGGGGTCTATAAACTATATACTGAGAGCGTGTAGTTGTTCATATGGTACAGAGATACAAGGCCCTGTGTACACGTTGGCGTGCACGTAAGGGATCCCAACGACATTTGTCCACCTTGTTGCAGTAGCATCCTCAATTGCTAGACTCTCTCTTTGTCCGTCAACAAATCCTTTATAGAAATGAAATGGGGTTTAACGTTCTACTGTTTTGATCCGAACTGGGCTAATGAAGACGGGCATACGCCATACAGTATGCTATGAGGGAAATTTTGCCCGGACAGCGGCACTACGGCCTACTCTGATATCGAATTCTTTTACGTGCACATCAATGTGTACACGGGACCTCGGTTTTCCGTCTCATCCGAATGACTAGACAGCTGTCCTTATCAGGTCCTCCGTCCTGCCTCACTGACAAGGGGGAACCACGCCGGAAAATCTGGTGAACTTTCTCGGACAATGCAGGGATCAAACATCCGACCTCCTGGCTAGCGAGCCAGCGTCTTACTCACTTAGCCACCGTGACCCCCAATCCCTTATAGCACACTGCATGGCGTAGGCTAGTCTTCATTAGCTCAGTTGGTGCAGCTTTTGTTTCCATGGTAGAAACATTCCGGTATCCAATCTCATTTATATGATTTCAAATTGCTATGATTACTAATTGCCGGACACTGATTAGATTGGTCAGAGTTTAGCTGACCCCAGGGATCTGGTGTGTCCATTAGGCCACAAATATTACAGTTTGTACTTTATTTCTTACTACGCGTTGGATAAGAAGGTCAGTCAGTGAGAGAAGTGACGTGGTTTCGATTCCCCACTTGTATGTGACAAGGAGTAGGGTCGCCTGTCCATTCTCATGGGTTTTCTCCGGGTCCTTCGGTTTCCTCCCACTGCTAAAGACCCCTGGGTACAAGCGAATTATAGAAATAAAAAATTGAACATGTTAGTCCCGAAATGACCTATTGTGTGTCGACTGGACGTTAACCCCTCTCGCTAGCCTGGATTTCCCTCATAACACACCGTATGGCGTATGCCTGTCTTAATTAGCACAGTTCGGAGCAGAACAGTAGGACGTTAACCCCCTTTTCATTTCATGTCACCTCTCTCTCTCCCTCTTCCTCTCCCTCCCCTCTCCCTCAGTAGGACATTAAACCCAATTTCATTTCTCTCTCTATCTCTCCCTCTCTCTCTCTCTCATTTTTTTCGGGAAAAACACAGGGTCGTAAATAGCCCAGAGCAACGAGTGGGTCGGAAAGTGTTCTCAGCGGTACTGTCAAATTGACGGACAGTGTACAATTTTTCACAGCGGGGGGGGGGGGAACTTAAGTTCACCCCCAACCCTTTAGTTACGGGCCTGGTAAAAGACTAATTTAAACATGAACCAGAAGTACTTGGTTGCACTGGTTACAAGATTTTAGTTCCATATGTTTGAGTTCTTAGATTTTAAACAAAATATCTTTCACATGATTCAAGTGGCTGCTTATTTATCAAGACCATTTTCCGGCGTGGTTTCCCCTTGTCAGTGATGCAGGACGTAGGGTCTGTCAATGACAGCTGTCTAGTTGTTCAGATGGGACGAAAAACCGAGGTCCCGTGTACACGTTGGCGTGCACGTAAAAGATCCCTTGACAGTTGGAATTCGATATAAGAGTAGGCCGTAGCGCCACTGCCCGGGCAAAATTTCTATCATTGCACACAGTATGGCGTATGCCCATCTTTATTAGGAGCAGAACAGTAGGACGTTAAACCCCATTTTATTTCATTTCATATATCAAGACCATGAAGAACAAAAAATCAAACTGGTATGGCCTTACTGAAAATTTATCGTTAATTTCTTAACAGAATGTTAGAATTATCGACGACACTGCGGACGAAATAATGATAACTACCCCCGCGTGTCCACTTAAATGGTCATTCAATCACGATAAAGCATTACCCTGGACGGACTCTAGGAGTTGCACACAAATCAAACACTATTATAAAGGTCCATTGATTTACGAGAAAGTTCATCGGGATTTCCTGGCGTGATTCACCCTTGTCATTGATGCTGGGTGGACAACGTATAGCTGTTCGCATGGGTCATATGCATAACATATGCCCGTCTTCATTAGCACAGTCTAAGCGGAAGAGAATGGCGTTAAACCCCATTGCATTGCATTTCATTTCCTTGGATTTATTTATTTTGCGACTCAATAGTTAAGGGGAGGTAATACCATTCTTCAATTATTTGCCCATTGACTTCAATGTTAAATTCCTCTAACATCACAGGCTGTGGCTTTTTGCTCAACATTCCGTTGGTTCCAGTCCTTATAGGCACAACGGGGACCACATTTGGCAAACTTCCCATCATAATTTTGTACTGGGTTGACAGTTTAGATTTTTTGCTACGGGGATTTGATGTTGACTGGGGTGAAAATCTCACTTCCGATACAATGATGGCTCTGCAGAATGACACTTTATACCCTCCGCTGTAATATCATCAGTATTACCCAAAAGTGCTATGCCAAAAAGTCAATCAAAAAATGCAGGAAAAGGGGAGAAAAATTGTCTATTTATAACTTGCACCACATTACTAGTCTGAGTCCATTTAAAAACGTTTTGAATTCCCGAACATACTTCATTTCTACACTGCATCTCTATCAGAAGTGCAACATCCTACAGAGAGAGGGAGAGAGAGAGGGAGAGAGAGAGAGAGAGAGCGTCTA